TACTTCCTTTCCTTCACTATTCAGTAGCTACTACCACTAATGTACGCCAGGTAGGGGGCTTGAGAGTCTTGTTTAGGGGGGGAATTTTACGGGACAAGTGTTAGTGTGTCACTTGTGTTTGCCTATTCGTGAGGTTGTTCTCTCGAAATTTTGTATTCTCTTTTTATTATAGTGGATTGCTCATCTCCGTTGTGGACGTAGGTCAGTTGACCGAACCACGTTAAATGTTTGTGTCTCTTTTGGTAGATTTCTATTTGTTGTATGATTTATCGTCGTTCAAGGTTTGCTTTGCTAGCTTCCGTATGACACCTGTTTTTTCGGTCCTAACAAGTGGTATCAGAGCCCAGGTTCAGCGGAACGAGTATGGAGATGGCGGAGTAATGGTGCAGGGCGGTGCACACACAAGAAGAAGCTAGTTGCGGGCTTCGGTTGCCATAATACTCTAACAATGTGGGTGGCACAATGTGAATCTCGAAAATTGACCCGTGGATCGTGGTAGTGGGCCACGTGGAACTTAGTTCGAGGGGGAGATTGTTGGGTGTGCGAACAAAGTACCACATTGGTAGCTGAAAAGATTGGGAGTCTACATATAAGGTGTAGGGATCTCTTAATGGTGTGAGGCCTTTTGGGGAAAACCGTGCGGGCTTGGCCCAAAGCGGACAATATCACATCATGTTAAGAGTGTCATTGGGCCGTTTTAGCCCAACATGTATAGCCCTCGCCTGCTTCGCGGAGGTTTAATCAAGCTTCGCCGTCGAGCTTCGAGGTCCCTTTTTTCCCCCACCAAGGAATTCGGGGATGATGCCTGGTTAAGCCGATTCATCCGAGTGAAAACATCTGATTTGATTCCAGCGGAAAAGATGCCATTCCCTAAGGAATGGAACGCTGGGCGTAAGTAGTCGCGATGCCCTTGCCCCACTTTTTTTGTAATTTTTCTTCATGCATCTGACTCTGCCTTTCTTGTCGTTTTAGCCGCAGCGATGTACCCAGGCGCGGTGCTGGACCTTTGGGATTGGGTCGGCCGTTTGCACTCAATCTGCCCATATATCGACCAAGCGTGGCGGGACTTATCCCGAGCTCGGCGAGAGGCCGGAGGCCCTGGTAAGCCTGGAGTCTTGATGCATCCGTGCATTCTGGCGTAGCTTGGTGTTAGTAGCTTTCTCTGTTTCGTGCATTTTAACATCCGCATTTATGCAGGTCTGGGAGGAACCCTATTGGTAAGGGAGGTGCCGTCTGTTGGAGGGGACACTCAGATGCATGACAAGGAGAGGAAGAGGCAGGAGAACCTACCGGTTGAGCTGCTGGAGCCCAAGAGGATCAGAGTGGAGGGTTTCGAGGTTGACCCTTTGGCTCCAGTATCCGGGGCGACGGGAAATCCTCGTGTTGAAGGTGAGGGGGAAAGCAGTTTCTCGGCACCATTTGAAGGGCGCTTGAGGTTGATTGACCATCAGGCCGTGGGAATAGATGCTTTCGGACAGGAATCCGATGCTGACGCGGCTTGGATTCGTGGTGGCGAGGCAATGGATGGGGTATCGAGCACTGAACTCGAATTGACAGGCGGCCGGAGTTCTCCCCGGACTGGGGCGCCCTTGACAGTCAGTTCGGAGGGACCTCGAGATGGGTCCCAGGATGAACAGAAGACGGAGATTCAGGCTAACCCTGCTAGCCCGTTGGACATCGTTGATTCCCCAAAGGGGGATATCCTTCCATCTTCCGGCATGCAAGAGGAATCTCGCGAGGAGCCTTTCGTGGCGGGAGCACTGATCAAAGGCGGAGGCACAATCGGAAGGCCGGCGATCATTCCTGAGGGCAGTTCTAAGGTTGACGCCTTGTCTGTTTTTGGCGAGATGGGCAGGTTTTGTGAGCGGGTGAACTTCATCTAGCATTGTTTGCTGCTTCGGGCTGCTCCGCCCTTTACCTTCTTAACTTTATTATGCGGTTTCAGGCCGAGGCGCTTTATAACCAGGCCCTCGCCAAGTGTCAGGATGAGGTGAGTCGTCGTGAGTGCGAGAAAGCTTTTTTCACCGAACAGGTTATCTATCCCTTGCTCTCGCTACCATTTGAGCCCTTGTAGAATTTCGTCACTTTTAACTCTTCGGGCCCTGATTTGTGCAGTTTGAGAAGGAGAACGCCCTGCTGAGAGGGGAGCTTCGGGCTAGGGATGCTGAAATCTCCGAGCTTAGCCTGCGCGTAAGCGCGGTGTCTTCTGAGAGGGACAACCTTAGGGAGAGAGTTACCTTGATTGAGCGCCAGCTTCAGGACGCGAGGGAGGATAGCGGCAAGTACAAGGGCCTTCATTCCGAGTTGGTGGATGCATTGCTCCGGATCAAAGTTGAGGCCGAGGCGCTTGTATCTTCGCATGGGGGAGGAGCGCTCGTCACAGATTCCTGCGTTCAGAGGGCGTTCGAGGGGGCTGGCTCGATATTGCCTCGAACCGTGGGTCATGCCTGGCCAGTTTCCCGAGGGCTGCCCGTTGAGGGCGCGTTGGAAGGCAGCTCGAGCGGGGTTAAAAATGGGGGCGGATCCCCGGAGAGGGGGGACGCCGTCGAGAAGGGGCCAACGCGGGACCTGTAATCATCCGGATGCAACCCTTCGAGGCCATTGGTTCGGCAATAGATTAGGGCCTGCTGTCTTTTTCCGTTGGTCTCTCTATTTGTAGTACTTCTTTAATTTGGCATTTGTACGAGGAGAATTCTGCGACTCTATTTCCCTTTCTGTTTTTATTTTACCAATGATTGGCGAAAAAACCTCAGACCTGTAATATAGCCCTGTGGCCCTTTTGGGCTGGCTCGAGAATTTTGTCGCGTGGCTGGTTGATGCGGCCTTCGACGTAAACCGTCGTGAGGGATCTCACGCTTTTGCCCCGCCGTTATGCGTTGGGTTTCCGGGCCGGGCTTGTCCCGAGCCTTGTTGATCTCCGCTTTTCCGTACTCATGCGGTCGGGTGATGGCGGTTCTTATCTTTTGCCTTTGGGCATTTTGCTGTTTCAGCAGCTTTGGGTCCAGTCTCCGAGTCGCGTTGCGATTCGAGCTTTAAATGACCATAAGGTTCTTTCTTGCTTGCACGGGCGGGCAACGATGGCCTTTTGTGCTTTGTGTCGAAATGATTTCGCAGTCGCATGGCCCGAAGGCTCACTCAGCTGGTTGACAGTGGCATTTACGTCGTGCCCTTAGGCGTGTTGTAGTTTAATTATTTCGGGTCCAGTCTCTGAATCGCGTTGCGATTTGAGCTTTAATTGACCCTCAAGTATGGTGATAGTGCCTCTTGCGCTGTTTTGGTCGTTGAGACCTTTCTATATGTGGCCCGTAGGCTTGTTTAGTTAACTATTTTGGATCCAGTTTCCGAATCGGGTTACGATTCAAGCTCACTTTAATCCTCAAGTTGTCAATTTTGGCTGGCAACAATGGCTCTTACGCTTTTTGGTCGTAGAGACCTTTTAATATGTAGCCCATAGGCTTGCTTAGCTGGCGACAATGGCTCTTACGCTGTTTTTGCCCGTGGGCTTTTTGTAGGCTTTGTTCTTCGCTCATTAAGGTCATTTGAAATATTTTTTCCTGACCCGTCGTCAGTTCTGGAAGAACCTCGATTTCAAGTCATTGTCGGTGATATTTAGAGCACCTCGGAAGGTTCATAGCTCGTAGGCCGAGTAGGTCGAAGCCTTTGTGATTTGGAGCTGACATGGTCGAAGCTCGTTTTTTCCTGTTGAGGGAAGCCTGTTTTAACCGGTTCTTTCCGAAGTATATTCGAAGTAGTGGCCTGCGATTTTTGTTTAGCGACGGTCGGGCGTCCCCGAGTCGCGTTATTTTGGCTGTATCAGCCGTTTTGACCATAGTCATGTGCGTTCATTTTTGATCCCGAGTGATAGTTCAGGCGTCTACACCGAGGGTATGCCCTTTTGGGATTCTTACAAATGCGACGTATAGCCTGAACTTCGGGATTTTCATGCCTATTGAGGTCTTACAGTTTGTCATTCCTGTTGAGGTCTTACAACTTTTGTATTTGTAGAATCTGGTTACGCCGAGTCTGCCCGCTAAGGGTCTTACAGTTTCGGGTTTTCCAGCGCATGGCGATTGACAACAGTCTCCGAGTCATCAAGTTGTTTAAGCGTGAAGACCGCTTCTTGTGAACTCGGAGCTGCCTTGT